CTGTGTTTGTATACATTGAAGGTGTATGAATATCTAGTCTTAGTTTGTATTTAGGTACTGTATAGAATAGAAGTATAACAATACTAGCATTGAATCAATAAATAGGAATGGTATGTTATGAAGTCTAAATATTTTTGCAAATACAATTACACTACAAAATGTTATTTCGAAATTCAAATACAATTGAATTTTGCAACTCGATTCGATTTAAGTCATACGTCCCCGGCTGAGAATCAAATTCCTTTGAAGCATCTCTAAAGATTGCATTCTTTTACTTGACTTGACTCAGATCGAGACTTCAATACACAAATTCAGATGAGCTTTCTTCAGCAAATCGAAAAGGCGGAGGGTTTCTTGCAAAAGCTGAAAGCTTTGATAGATATTAATGACAAACACTTGCATGATAACTTACTAGTCTCTCAGCTTGAAGCCATAGATGCGGTCAATTTTAGTTGGCTTTCGCGCGAGACAACAGCCGAGGAATGGGTTTCAAGGTTGGTTGCAAATGCACTCACTCGTCTTTGTAGGAGTCAGCCTCCTGTCGAAGTTGTCGAAAAGCTGATTGATATGTTTCCTACAGCATTAGATTCCACGACGAAACCAAATGACTGGATTCCTCTTCAGCATGCAGCAAACAGCCTAAGATCACATGCAAAATACATCCACTTATTTGTTACAGTTTCTTGTTCGGGGTATTTACGCAATTGTGGGCCGAATACGAGTGCAAGCACAAACATTTTACAATATTTGCTTAATGTTCACTGTCACCCTGGCACTTCTGAATCGGCGACCATTGATGAATCACTTGCGAATACCATTGGTTACTTTTGTAAGCAAGGCTTCATTACGAAAGAAGATATCGAGAATTATGATTTGCTTGCTCGCTCCTGTCATAAGCATTGCATGCGAAGATTCGAATGCCTTGCAAGATGGCACAAAGAAGCACTGAAGAACTCAAGAGTGGAAGATGAGCCGCTACTACATCATCTTTTATCTAAAAGAAACTTTGATTCTGTTGAAGTTTTCCTTCGTGCATCGTTTCAGCTGTTTCCAAATGAATGTGGACTTTTGTTTTATGGAGATTACTCCGACCAAGATCATGTTCAAATATATAACAATGTTCTTGAATATAGTTCCGCTTCTTTCTATAAAACTCTTGAAAAGGTCATACGTCCTATCTCTTTCCCACTTCTACATCAATTATGCAAACATGGGGGGCAATTGTTAGGTGTCTTAGAAGATCATCTTCCATTTTTGTGCGGCCTATTGGATGAGGATGGACGAAGCTACCATCAAGCTCTTTTTGCACATTGCCCTGAACAAGTGACTTCAAGAATACACTTTTTGCTAAGACCTAGAATAGATCGTATTTCTTTAGTGGAGCTCGAAACGAAAGATCCAGTCACAGGCCTTCTCCCCTTCATGACAGTTGTCGCAAATGGCTCTGTTGAATGTATTTATAAAGTGCTCCTGAAGCATCCTGCTGCACTTCTGAACTGTATTAAATCAAGTGGAGGGCAAAAGGGGGGACTAATGACATTGAAAAGAAAGCATGACAACACCGATTGAGCCTAACAATGTATCGTAGCCCAAGACATGTATATCTAGGTTACATATTATAAAGAATAGAGATACGAATAACCAAAGTATGAAAATGAGCTTCGTCATTGAAACCAACTGAAATGAATCATAATCCTATAGCAGTCATATTCTACTTCAATTTATTAGTTGGCAAGCCCTTTTGATACTGTATAACTTGTTAGTAATAAAGCTAATAGTATCTTTTTATTGTTTATCTACAAAAATGAATGAAAAGGGATTATAGAATGTTATCATTAAAGCCTTTACATATCGATGAAATATTTGTGTCCCAATGCGTGTCAAAAATCAAACAAAGAAAAAGAAAGAAAAGGAGAGAGGATGGTAACAAGTCCAATGACCTATGTTGGGAACTCCTTTTGCTTTTCTCCATCTTCCATCTTCACAATCTCACAGATTTCATAAAATCATCTTGGATAGAAGTTATCATTATTGGAAACCACCACTACTCTTAGCATATTTACATAAAGCATCATGGGAGACGAAGAAGCAAAGAGGAAAATGTCTAAACTCATCAACTATTTGATGAGCCGACAAGATTCAGCTCCATTCCGTGAACCGGTAGATTGGAAAAATCTTGAACTTTTCGATTATCCAAAGATTGTCAAGAAGCCAATGGACTTGGGAACAGTGAAGCGAAAGCTTGAACGTAATCAATATGAAAATGTTGCCGAATGTGCAGAGGATATTCGACTCATTTGGACCAATTGTAAAACATATAATGCCGATGGCAGTGACTTTTATCTATTGGCTGAGAGTTTCAGCAAAAGATTTGAGGATCGTTACAAGAAGATCGAGGCTGAATGTAAGTATGAATTGAAGTAGCATATATACTCTATATATTTACTATAGCCTCATTTGTTAACATTTCCTCTCTCTTTCTTTCTCTCTCTACTTACATAGTTGACGTAGGCGGTGAATCAAAGAAATCTGCTAGTCCAAACAAGTCGGGGGTATCTCTGGATGTAAAGGCTCGATTCGCAAGTAGTTTATTTCGTTTGTCTGGAATGGAGCTTGGACATGTACTTCAAGTTATTGATCTTAAATGTCCAAATGCTCTTGAAGATCCGAATCCTTCCGCTGCCGAAAAGGAGGGAATGGATGATCCACATTGTGAAATTAATATTGATGCACTTGACTCTCGAACTTTTGCGGAACTTGATCGATATGTAAAGGAGAAAATGCTCGCAAGAACTACTGGAGAAGCACTTGACGATGAAGAATATATTCCAAAGAAGCAAAGGAGGTAAATACGAGGTGCTGATGCAAGGGGAGACGTATCATCATGTATCCAAACAAAAATATGTAACCTAGGTGAAGATAAATATTCTACACTATTTCGTTTTAGCTCTATAAATACATGGATCTTGACTCCATCCCTTGATTTGTTTTACAAAGTAATCTCTTGATGATACATGAACATCTGCGCTTTGTAAAAAGTATTTGAGTATCCACTCACTTGCATTCTTTGCTTTGGTCATTAGCACTGATCGGATGAATGCATGTTCCTCGTCACATATATCAATCATGTAATCTTTTGTAAAGTCTTTGACACCATCGATCCAATCCAAAACACCTGCAGTGGAAACATGTGGAATTTCAGATATACTTTCTTTGATTCCAAGAAACTCTGCCAAGTCTTTTCTCAATTCAAAAGAGACTCCATCGGTGTCCTCATTGAGTTGACTTATTTCATAAAGAAACACAGGACCAACATTTCCATCCTTTTTCTGTCGAGTTTCTGGCAAAGCCATGTATTGCATCTCCTCCTTGTTCAAAGGTGTCTTATTCAAGGCTGCTAGAAAATCAGCAATGTTGGCTCTCCATGCACATATACCATGTGATCCCCTTACACATCGTTCCAATTTATCAGTATGAATCATTTTATTCATATTCCTGACATTGAAATTATACAGTGATTCAAACCATAAAACTGGATGTCGAAGACCTATAATCAATTTCGTCTTGTAAAAATGTTTTTTGTAATTGTTGATACTTTTTGGTGCAGATACATCTTGTGGACATTTGATTCCGTATGGTAAATTTGGGTTAGAGCTTGATTGTTTGAGATTGTACAATGCATTCAAGAGCAGGGGTATATCATCATTGACTAAATCACATCGTTCCTTTGGAATTATATTTGTAGAATTGGCAAGGGTCCGAAGTAGAGATGTCGTTCCTGTTTTACTCATGCCAATGATTGCAAAAGATAGGTAGGATGAGATATCCTCACGAATTTCAGTAATATATGTGTTGTTCTGGTGCGATATGGATATAATGTTTTGCAAATCTTTGTGCAAAACTTGTTTCAAATGATGTTTTTTATTATGCGAAGGTATTCTGATACTTGATGCTCCTTTAGAATCATAGTTCTTTTTCAAAGTGTTTGACTTTGCTTGTGTTGACAAAGAAGAAGCCCTTTTCGTTTTCGTTTGGTGAGAAAAATGAGTGTGATATCGTTCATTATTTTGAAGAATAAGTTGCGATAGGTCTTGTTGATCCATCGATGGTACGAAGCTTTGCATGTATACCAAGGAAATCGCAACTGCCAATGTAAGGATGAGAAACAGCATCAGAAGAGCATCATAGTTTCTCGCTTTCCTCCTCCTTTTAAATGTCATGAAGATTCAAGATTTGCGTCGTCTCGCATGGCTTCAACTACACTATAGTCTCTACACTATGTCCAAAATATATATAAATGCAATCAGGTGGGTAGTGATAAAACTACTACAAAAATGAAATGAGATATGAGATGCAGCAAAAAGGGAAAAAGAAATGGCGGCTATTTTAACTTGATGACATTCTCATTTTGCTTTTGACCGACGTCAAAAGTCTGACCTAATACGTACATGCCTTTCAACCCAATGACGCTTTGCTTCTTCCATTTAGTTGCAATAGTGGATTGAACAGATCATCAACATCTATTATATGATATCATGCAACCTTTTACCAAACGCCTTTCTATTTCATGTTCAATTCTCTATTTTTTGATAGCGACAAGTCTGGGAATCATTTGAATGGTTCGGAAAAGATACTCTCTCACAAATCGAAAAGAGAAGGAAAGAAAAGAGAGTAATACAGATATTATCCAATTTTCTACTGTTTACCAAATACGAGAATAATGCGTTCCCTTAGTTAGTGAACTTTAAAGTCTTCAAGCACCATATTCTTTAATGAAATAAAGATCAATACAATGTTTTTTTATTATATATAGTTCCAAAAACATTGAGGCTGACATGCGGCCACACATTGATATTGATGTGTACGTACACGCATAGTATCAAATCACAACATCAATTTCAATTGAAAAATTCAAAACAAGGGTTGATCGCCAATGAACATCTGTTTCATTGGATGAGTACCAACATTGGCAAAAGGAGAAACGCAAAAAGCAAAAGAGTCGACACGGGCAGGATTCGAACCTGCGCGTACAAAGTACAATGGATTAGCAATCCATCGCCTTAACCACTCGGCCACCGTGTCTTGATGCCATAAAATGGAGTGTCAACGCTATAATAATACTTTATATTGGTTTACTGTCACTTTATCTTTGTTTATAAGAATATTTTGAACAAATAGATTCATACCTTTTATAACTTTTACATTTTGTAATATAATGATAAATAAATGTAGGAAGTTTAGAGCCATACATGGAGAGCAAAACATAGCGAGTGTTTGCTTTTTTTGACTGATTTCTACTCTCCCTCTATCCTTCTCTTCTTTGTCAAAAAGGCCAGTACAAAGAGGCTCCCTACAAAAAAGGCAAACGATCCAACTAAACACATGAACATCTAACACCACCACCCTCATACATGTAATGTGAACATAATTGAAAGTGTATCTTTCTTTCCAATCTATTTCATTACTACAGTAGTCATTGTTGCAAATCTTAAAGTAACATATATCTCATTTCTCACCACACATAAATCAGATCTAAAAGCAACAAACGAAAAATATATAAAAATGGCGGACCGAGAAGCACAACAAAAGCTCTACGCCTACAGCGAAATGTCCAATAAGGTCCAACAAGCTGACCGATCAAGACGTCGCAGGGGAGATGCAACGGGTGAAGTCGAATCTCTACGTGGTAGATCCGATATTGGAAAAATGGGAGATCGAGTCCTGTCTCAAAAGAAAGATCGTCCGGCAGAACTGGAAGAGATGATGGAGAGGGCCAAAAAGAAGCGTCAAAAGAGAGATGGTGATCATGTGGGGAAAGAGAAAAAGAGTAACATTCTCATGAGTGCTGGTGGACAGAGTATTTTAGATATTGGTGATGTGAATGGTTATCAGCCGACACATGCTGGTAGTCGAGCCAGTTATGAATCTCTACTGGTGAGTCGATGACTTTCTATTTACTCCATGTGTTGATCTCTTTTTTTCTTCTTGTATTAACCCATGCTCGTTCTTTTTCTACATGTATAGAATTTAGTCCGGTCAAAAGCATTTCTTGGAAATCAGCCAACTTCTATTCTAACTGATGCAGCGAATGAAATAATTTCTATACTCAAAGATCAAAACTTGAGAGATCCGGAAAGACACAACCTCATTTCGAAAATATTGACGGGAAAATCATCTTCTGTCCCAGCTGGACTGTCCAAAGAGCAATTCTCAACCATTGTTAATCTAGGAAAAGGAATGGATGATTATCAAGATTATCAAAATCAGACCATGGAAGAAGAAAAAATTGATGATGAAATGGGTGTCGCGGTTGTTTTTGATGATTCGGATGATGAGGCGGAAGAAGGTCATAATCTGAATGATGAGCGGAGCGATGTGGATGAAGATGAAGTTGTTGAAGTTGCTTCTACTTCCTCCTCTGAAGCGGAAGAGTTGGAAGAAGCAAATAGTGACGACGATGATGATGAAGAAAAGATTGTGATTGATGAATCCTCGGGGAAATCTAAAAAAGTCAAACATGCATATGATCGGATCTTGTCCGTGCATGAAATTGATGCGCACTATTTACAGAGACAATTATCAGCACATTATGATGATGCAAATGTCTGTTCAAAGTTGGCCAATGAAGTTCTTGATATTATTGATATTTCTTCTACGAATTCCAGTGATTTGAGGGAATGTGAAAATAAGCTTTTAGTCCTTTTGGAATCAGAACTATTTGATGTTATCAAGTGTATTTTGAATAATCGTGTGAGGATTTGGGCCTGTGTCTCTTTGAAAAGGGCCAAGGATGACGATGAAAGGGATGTTATTGAAAATGTTTTGAAAAGTGAACCCACTGGGGAGGGTATTCGAGTGCTTGAAGAAATTCATACAAAGAACAAAGCTGAAGACTGGTCCAAAGATAGAATGCGTGGCATCACTGAGTCATTCAAGGCTGGATCGAAAGCAGAAGTATCTTCCGCACTGGATTCTATTGGCATTAAAGACACAGAAATGGAAGATGCCAATGATGCAAAGAAAGGTGAAGAAGCTATCGAGCTAGATTTAGAGACACTAGCTTTCCGCGATGGTGCACATACCATGACTAATAAAAAATGTAATTTACCAGATAAATCATGGAGAGCCATGAAAAAGGGATATGAAGAAGTCCATGTTCCAGCCGTAAGAAGTATCATTTCAAAAGATGAGAAACTTGTTCCGATCAAAGAACTCCCTCAATGGACCCATGATGCATTCAAAGGCATGGAGAAATTGAATCGTGTGCAGTCGAAAATGTGCGAGGTGGCATTGCGCTCTTCAGAAAATATCCTTCTTTGTGCGCCAACAGGAGCTGGAAAAACGGTACGTATCATACATCTTATGTATACTGTTAATTTTCATTTTTTCAAATCTGACTCTTTTCCCTCGTTTATAGAATGTGGCAATGCTCACAATGCTCAACATACTTGGCCAGTACAGAAAACAAACATACGACGAAGATGAACCAAATAGTGAAGAAGTTTACGACTTGAAATCCTTTAAAATTGTTTATGTAGCACCGATGAAGGCTCTTGTGCAAGAGGTCGTAAAGAACTTTTCAAAGCGTCTTAGTGCTTATGGTGTGGTAGTGAAAGAATTATCAGGAGATTCGAGTCTAACTAGGCAACAAATATCAGAGACACAGATCTTGGTTACAACTCCAGAAAAGTGGGATATCGTCACTCGTCAAGGAGAGGGGAGAGCATTCACACAACTGGTGAAACTTGTTATTGTAGATGAGATCCATCTTTTACATGATGATCGCGGTCCTGTTCTCGAAAGTATTATTTCTCGTGTTATTCGTCAAGTTGAAAGTAATGCGGAACCAGTTCGCATTATCGGTCTAAGTGCTACACTTCCAAACTATGCAGATGTTGCTACTTTTCTTCGTGTGAAACCGGACAAGGGATTGTTCTTCTTTGACCATTCTTACAGGCCTGTTCCGTTACAAATGCAATACATTGGAATTACAGAAAGAAACGCATTTAAGCGATTTCAACTTCAAAACGAGATTTGTTATGATAAAGCTGTGATACAGCGGAAAAATAACAATCAGATGTTGATTTTTGTTCACAGTAGGGCTGAAACTGGCAAAACTGCGAAGGCACTTCGTGATATTGCTCAAGAAAGGGATGAACTATCTTATTTTGTGAAAGAAGGCGGTGCCACTCAAGAGATTCTACGGGAGGAGCTTGCGACAGTTAAGAATGCGGATCTAAAAGAGGTACTTCAATTCGGCTTTGCTATTCATCATGCTGGAATGGCCAGAGCTGATCGAGAACTTGTGGAGGATTTGTTTGCTGATGGACATATCGGGGTGCTTTGCTGTACGGCTACACTGGCATGGGGAGTGAATTTACCTGCCCATGCAGTTATCATCAAAGGAACACAAATCTACGATCCTACAAAAGGAAGATGGGCTGAACTTAGTCCATTGGATGTACAACAAATGCTAGGTAGAGCAGGTAGACCTCAGTATGACAGTGAAGGAGAAGGTATCATTATGACTGCACATAGTGAACTTCAATACTATTTATCTTTGATGAATTTACAGCTACCAGTGGAAAGTCAGTTGATCAAAACTCTTCCAGATCACTTGAATGCGGAAATTGTGCTTGGAACCGTACAAACAATTTCCGAAGCTGTAGATTGGCTCAGTTACTCCTTTCTTTATGTAAGGATGTTACAGAATCCTGAAATATACGGCATTTTTGAACCTGAGAAAACGATGAAAGAGGATCCTACCCTGAAGCGAAGAAGACTGGATCTTTCTCATACAGCGGCATGTCTCCTGGAAAAAAGTCATTTAATTCGATATGATAGGAAAAGTGGGGCTTTACAACCAACTCCAATGGGAAGAATTGCAAGTCAATTTTATCTCTCTCATTCATCGATGGCTTTGTACAACCGTCACCTTAGACCAAACATGACTGATATAGATTTACTACGACTTTTTTCATTAAGTGGGGAATTTAAACACATCACTGTAAGAGAGGAAGAAAAGCTTGAATTGTCAAAACTTGCAGCAAAGGTGCCGATTCCAGTAAAGGAAAGCCCGAGCGAGCCATCTGCAAAAGTCAATATTCTTCTACAAGCTTATATTAGCCGTTTAAAACTGGAAGGTTTTGCTCTGGTTTCTGATATGGCATTCATCCAACAATCGGCAGCGAGAATAATGCGTGCCTTGTTTGAAATGGCTGTAAGAAGAAAATGGTCTGGGTTGAGCAAGCTTACATTGTCATTCGCAAACATGGTAGCCCATCGTATTTGGAAAAGTCAGTCACCTCTTCGACAATTTAAAAACGTTCCTGAAGTAGTGGCAAAGAAACTTGAGAGAAAGAGCGACATAGAATGGTCCAGATACTTTGATCTTACCCCGTCAGATCTTGGTGAATTAATTGGAGTTCCTAAAATGGGAAGAACTCTACACAAACTTGTCCATCAATTTCCAAAAGTCGATTTGTCAATTCAGGTTCAACCGATTACACGATCGATGTTACGTGTCGAACTCGTTGTGGTACCTGACTTTGAATTTGATATTAGCATTCATGGATATTCACAATTGTTCCATGTTTTTGTCGAGGATGTGAATGGCTCTATCATTCTTCATCATGAAGTATTTACCATTAATAAGAGTAATGCTGAAGAAGAGCACTCGCTTCTGTTCACAGTGCCTGTCTTGGATCCAATGCCACCATTATATTTTGCACGTGTGGTATCTGATAGATGGATGCATGCGGAATCTTCTTTACCTATTTCATTCGCTAGCATGATTCTACCACCAAAGTTCCCTCCGCCTACAGAACTCTTGGATCTACAACCGTTACCTCCAGCTGCCTTGGGTGAAAATGCTCTTGCCAAGCTTTATGGTTTTAAGGAATTCAATCCTATCCAAACTCAAACATTCCATGAGCTGTTCAAAACGAATAGAAATACTCTCGTATGTGCCCCTTCCGGTTCTGGTAAACTCGTTTGTGCTGAGTTTGCGATCCATCGCATGCTTGTTAGTGATCCAAATGGAAAGTGTGTCTATGTTGCACCTAAGGATGAAACTGTGGAAA